TAATGTGCAGTGACGTGCAAGGGATGCATCATGTTCTGCACTGGCTCACACATCGCCCAGCTCCCCCGTGAACACTGCCCATAAAAGAACACACTGGATCTGTGGATTAGCCATGGTAACAGATTTGCTGCTCACACCCACCATGAGAGAGCGAGAGAGAGAGAGAGAGAGAGAGAGAGTGCGCACGATCACAGCTCTGACCTGTATGAAGGATGATGTAAGTAGCTAAAACACATTGGGGTTTGGTTACAGAGCAGCGCCGTGTGACAGTACAGCCAGCCAATGAGAGAACCGCCTAGTGACTGAGCATAGTTACAACAAACACACACAAACTACACAGATCTACATATGGCTGGAGTGTGCTAACCATTTCAAAATAAATTTAAAAAATCTAATACAACAAAACAATCTCTCTGGCATTCCTCGGAGCCTGGCTTCCGAGCTCCCTTCCCCACAGATCCTCTAATTATAGCGAAACCACAAGACACTGTGTGCTCATACGCAAGACAACACAGCGCAGAACAGAACAGGAAGGGTTTGGGTCTATTCACGAGCTGAAATTCTTAAAAAACCTGCAGGGAAAGAAAGAGAGAGAGGGAGAGGAAGCCAGTGGCGCTGCAGAGGCTGTCTGTGTTTTCCGTGCGGAAGGATCTAGAGGACGGGCATCAGGACAAGAAAAGGTAGGGACAACACAGACCTGAAGTCTAACAGGTTTACTAAGGTAATCCCTCAAAAGAGAACACAAGAGTGTATGTCTGCACTGCGAGTACGGCTCCATTCCTTAAACACACCTTCCTAATCTAAACAGTCCACAGAGGTTAAAGACAACATAAAAACAACAATCATAAAACATTTACACCACTGTTTAAAAGTTTGGGGTCGGTAAGATGTTTTACAAATATTGAAAGTCATCTCTTTTGCTCATTAAGCCTGCATTTATTTAATCAAAAATACAGTAAAACCAATAACACTGTGAAATATTACAACTTATAATAACTTAATTATAATCATTTTTTACCGTCACTTTTAATCATTTTAATGTGCCCTTGCTAAATACAAGTATTACTTTTTTCCCCTAACTTTTGAACTTTAACAAAACAAAATGCTACAAATTAATGTAGGCATCACAAGATTATAATATCTAGTTTCAAAAAGGATAATTTGTAGCCGCTCCGTTAAGATGGCCCTGCCAGTTTATGAATGGAGTCCTGTGAGGAATCAGAGGTGTTTTGAGTTTCTATGGCACGCAGGAACCCACTGACATATTTGTGACAGGTGATATCCACTAAGGGACACATGTGTGTTCTGCTACGGTGGCTCTTCGGGGACAAAATTAAACACCTCCTTGGTGGAAAAAAACACACATGCTAAAGACTTGAACACACAAGCCATCACTGAGGGATTTGGCACTAAGAGAAATGCAAGCAGGCTTTGGGAATCAGTGTAGCAGGCAGAAATGCTAATCACCATACAGCCCATTACTACCACCGTGTTCTCTGCTCCTCCGCCTCTGAGTCTGTTATTTAAAAGGCTCAGTGAGCACCGATTGAGAATCAGATCCCTTCAGTTCATATTATCTTGTCATAGGGATGTAGGGAGTGAAAACTCATACAAAACAACCACTTACACACATTAAGATGTTTTACCACACAGTCTGTCTCTTAATGAGAAAATGAGGATTCAGATTTTTCTAATATGAGACACTAGGTGTTATGAATTAAAGCTGACCACAGATCAGTGGTTGGAATCTGCAGAAACTCTCGACATGAGATCATGTGGTGCTTTGACATAAAGGGTCATGCCTAAATGTACACTATCGTTCAAACGTTTGTGGTCAGTATGTTTTTGATTACTCATTACTTTCATTTCTATTATATAGTATATATACATATATAACATTGTCATTTCCAAAAACATATTGCTGCAGCACAACTATATTTAACATTGAGAGTAATAAGAAATGTTTTTGAGCTCCAAATCAGCATATTAGAGTGATTTCTGAAGGATCATGTGAGACTGAAGACTGGACTAATGTTTGCTGAAAATTCAGCTTTGCCATCACAGGAACAAATACAATTTTAAAACATTAAAATAGAAAAACATACCAATTGTAATATTTCACAATATTATTGTTTTTACTGTATTTTTGAATAAATAAATGCAGCCTTGGTAAGCATCGGACATTTTTTTAAAACATTACAGACCCCAAACATTTGAATGATAATGTAAGAAGGAGTCTATACGTTTTATCAGTTTACAATAGAAGAAAGGGACAAAGAGTTGAAAGTATGTAGTAAATATGCAAGTATGCAATTAATAATTAATGAGTCTGTATGCCGCGGTTAGCACGTTGACTGAGTCATGGCCGTCATTTGGTTTCAAATGCTAGTGGCAAAAAAAAAAAAAGTATATTAGAAAATTTGAAAAACTGAATCTCTATGACTGCTGAATCTTCAACACACAACACAAAAGGAAACTACTAATAGAAAGAGGGAGGGAAGGAAAGTGCCTGTGTGTGAGTGACAGAGGGTGAGCTGAAGGAGGAAACACTGTTGTTCCTTTTTTGTGTCACTTCGCAGTGATTTGCAGACAGACAGAGCTATAAAACACACAGACTCACAGTTAGAGCCTTGTTAACAGACCTCAAAGGAATGTGTGTTTTAACCATGTTTAACAAACAGCCTCTGATCCTCCAAATTCAAAGACTCTAGGATTAAAACATTAATTTCAGTATTAAACAAGGCCTCAAATACATATCTTGCTTTGCATTTGAAGATGTTCAACCTTTACTGTGATTTGTAGCACGACAAAAAGAAAAAAAATGTATTCTGAACCTACTTGAAAGCTGTCTGGCTGTGCTAATAAGAGTGTATAAATGACCTTGAGCAAGATAAGAGAAGAGCGCAAATAAATGACTCTGTGAGGAGAGAACTGTAGCAGAGGGCAGAGAAAAGCCAAGCTGCTCTTTTTTTCCCACCTCTACACACATCGTCTCAGTTTCTTATCAAAAAGCACAGATGCTGACAGGCAGAAATCCAGCGCTGGAGACAGAGCACTTGCATGCCTGCAAAAAGCTTATGTACATAAACACACAAGAGCGTATTGCAGCCTGAGAACGGCATTTAAATAGGGGTGTAAGAAAACATAGATACACTTGAATATCACAATATTTTGTTTGGCGATACTGTATCGATTCTCAAAAACGCAATGTCGATATTTATATTATATATTTTTTAAAAATCATACAAGATTCATGGCAGTTGTTTCGTTTTGAGTTTATATCCCGACAAAAGTCATGCGTGTGTAAAATGTGCAATGCCAGCATCAAATATTCGAAGAACATACACGTCTCTGCGGCACATTATGGCTCCACGGCCACCGGAGCTGATCGTGGCCACTCTAGTCAATGCTTGTGTTCATAGCAGCCATGCTGCGGCACATTTCAGAAGTGTCTCTCCGCGCTGCTTCGCTAAAGATGGGCGCCGCGTCCAAGCCGCACATAATTAGATAATTGAGGATGTGTTTTAAATGACTAAAACAGCTACAAACCTTTTATCCTTGACGTTCATAACTAGACTTTGATATGACGTAAGTCATGAAGGCCACTTTTACTTTTGGAGTGAATTTGCATTTAATTTTCTCCACTGCATTCACACACTGACACTCACGCACATGTGTGTGTGTGTTCACATGTGCTCATGTTCTTCTTCATGTTCTTCCTTACAGAACGTTTAGCAAACACCGAGGAAACAAATTAATAAAAAAGAGAGCCTCCATAGCAAAACGTGAGGTAAACAGCAAAGCTAACAAGCTTTTCAAAATGAAAACAAAAAGAAAAGTAAAACTAAACTTGCTGTCGGTGACAAGAATTGCTGTTTGTCCCACAAGAATACCAACATGTTCACCTTTGGTTTAAGAAGCGGTCTTTTACTTTACTTTAGCATGAAACCCATCCATCGTTTCCTCAATATTCGCGTCATTATTGCTGCACACAGCTTCGCGCTCCTGACACGGCGAGTATAAACCAGGCTCTACACTCAAAGCGCTGCGCAGCTCAAACGAGTCGAGCGGTTTCATTATGCTTTCAGTTTCGTTTGATGTTTCTCACATGCAACAGACATGCAGCGCTTATGAGTTAAACAATGCGCCAGTGCGACCGCACACAAAATTTAGTCGCACCGGCAGAAAAAATGATCGCAAAATGCGCCCATTTGGTCGCACACTGGAGCCCTGTGCAGTACAGTATTTATTTATCCTCAGTTGTTCAAATCGCGGTAATCGAATACGGTTATAGTGATAATTAAAATATGAAACGGTAATACTAACCGTGGGGTATTTTATCACGGTTTATCGTCAAACCGGTAATCGTTACATCCCTAATAACTTTTGTGCATATTTTGAAGTGTTCTTAATGAAAGCTTTCCTAAAATTATCTTACACAATCGCAATGTATCGCAGCATATCGTATCGCAACCCCTGCATCGTGATGTGTATCGTATCACCACATTCTTGCCGTTAATGAGGAAAAAAAATTAACTTAAATGATTTTAGCAAATGGCTGCAATATAACAAAGAGTGAAAAATTTAAGGGGGTCTGAATACTTTCCGTACCCACTGTATAGCCCTACATTTTAAAAAAATTATTATTGCACCGTAGCGCAAGTAGCCAATCTCTGGATAAGCAACCAGGTCTGTATTCAAATCCCCACTGAGATAGTATGTAAATATGCTTTGACAGCAATGATATTCACGTTTTGGTGTCAGACTGTGAAGGAAGTGTTGTTGATTTGAGGCCACCTGGTCTAGATCTTACTCTGTATAGAAACCTGAGCTTCATAAACAAGCTTTACTCTAATGCAAGTACCTTAGAGGAGGATGCAAAAATTGCAAGCTCCATTAAAGCTGTGATCAACTTAATCCTTATCCTTACAGATAACATAAAATCCATTTAAGATAATGCGAGTAAATTAAAGAACATCTGAATTAAATGGTAGTCTTACCTCTTGTTAATGGGCTTCTCGTCCTTTTCGTAGGGTTTGACAAACCATTTTCCGATGCGCACGAAACTACGGTTCATCAGACAGCGCTCCAGCAGGTTGTGAATGGCCTTGAAGAGAAGAGTTCGACATTCGTAGGACAGACTGCTCTCCCACACGCCGTCATCCTCGCCTGTGGAGAGAACAAACACACAGAGACCCGGTCACCAACCTGCTGCTGTCTATAAACAACTGATCTGCCGTTCGTACAGGAATGCAATTTGCAGAAGTGAGTGACAGAACACACACACAAAAAAAAACAGATTTACAACTTTTTTTATTTTACACACACAAAAAACAACAAATGTATTAATTGTACCTCACCAGAATACAGACAAATAGGGCTGTAACGGTCGCCGTGACAACCACGTCACCGTACTGCCACTGGCAATAGTGCATGTGATGTCACGCACTCTATAACAAACATAATACGAATTTTATTTGGACAATAAGTCTATGGTAGCCTAATTCACAAATTACCTCAAAACGCCATACACAGCGTTTCCTTTAGATTGGCAGGTTTGAGCGCATGAAAATACAGTTTATTCTGCATTCAGAAAATTCATTTTGTGTTAGGCGATGGACCTTATTGGGAAACCAAATACTACATCGCCGATCTGGAGCCATCTCCATTCATGTCACCCATCCGCAAGTGTCTTCAAGTTCCTGTGATCACAAATACCTGGCTGGTCAGGTTTGGTGAGGTTTTCTCCAAACTGGCCAAATACAAACGAGACAGCGATAAATGGAAGATGTTAACAAGAAATGTGGCAACGATTCCTATTTCAAAGAGAGCGCGTGCAGACGAGGAGTGAATGTGCCCGCTTGCTTGGCGGCGGAACAGTCAACCGTGTCTACACCGGACACGACACCGCTGCATTGCAACAGGTTGAGTCTGTCTAGTGTCTACACAGGACATTTGAACTTTGTGTCAGTACCTCATAAACAGGACGAGGCAGTTTACTGTTGGGGATTTGTCATGTCGTGTTGCGTCGCATCCAGTGTAGCATCACTGATTATAAGGAGTTCTATAGTATTTTGTCGTGTCGCGCAGCTCGCGTCCGGTAGACAGGGTGTATTTAACGTTCTCATTTAGGCTACTTTCTTGTTTAATTGTATTAATTCTTTGATATTAATTTCAGTGTTTTGCAGGCTGCGTGTTCACTGACGGAAGTGCTAAAATAAACACGCAAGTTTGTTAGATGATTGAGCCTGATTTATTATTTGTGTTTCAAAATTATAGGCCTATAAATATATATATATACATACACACACACAGTATAAATATATATATATATATATATATATATATATCCCAGACCATCACACTACCACCAACATATTTTACTGTTGGTATGATGTTGTTTTTCTGAAATGCAGTGTTACTTTTACGCCAGACGTAATGGGACACACACCTTCCAAAAAGTTCAACTTTTGTCTCGTCAGTCCACAGAGTATTTTCCCAAAAGTCTTGGGGATCATCAATATGTTTTCTGGCAGAACTGAGACGAGCCTATATGTTCTTTTTGCTCAGCAGCGGTGCCTTATGTCGATCCAAACCCGTAAGACCTTTGTTCATCTTTGGAACACAAATTAAGATATTTTTGATGAAATGTGAGAGCTTTCTGACCCTCAATAGACAGCAACGCAACTACCACGTTCAAGGTCCAGAAAGTAGTAAGGACATTGTTAAAATAGTCCATGTGACATCAGTGGTTCAACCGTAATGTGATGAAGCTACGAGAATACTTTTTGTGCACAAAGAAAACAAAGGCTCTAGGATTTCATCACAAATACCTTAATTTGTGTTCTGAAGATGAACGAAGGTCTTACGGGTTTGGAACAACATGAGAATGAGTAAATGACAGACTTCTCATTTTTGGGTGAATTATCCTTTTAAGTCTACATAACGCTAGTTACGCATGTAACTGTGGTTCTATGAATTCCGGATGACCGCCAGAGGCAGTATAAACACTATGGATTATTGTAGCGCCAGCTAGATAGGTTGAGAGAATATACCAACAAAGTCACGTAGTGACGTATGTTGAGCCCTGGGGGGTTATAAGCCACCGTAGCTCAGCACTCTGCCTCGGTACACCTTTTTCGCGCATTCCGAGTGACCAAGAATTTTGGCGGTCATCCGGAATTCACAGAACCACAGTTGCATGCGTAACTACCATTTTGTTTTATTCCTACTGGCCACCAGAGGCAGTGTAAACACTATGGATGACACATACCAACATAGTCATGAGGAATGCCACCCACCTGATGAAAATTAAGGCCGCTCCTGAAGAACCGCAGAACTAACGGCATGATGACCAGCAACATTGACTTTATAAAACCGGGCAAAAGTGCATGGAGAAGACCAGGTAGCGGCAGTGCAGATATCCGCCAAGGAAACTCCTCTAAAACAGCCCATGAAGATGAGATGGCCCTAGTGGAATGGCAGGTTAGTCTCCAGGGCAGTGGCCTCTCTGCTGCCTTGTAAGCCAGTGTAATGGTCTCCACTATCCAGTTTGACAATCTCTGCTTTGACACTGGAGCACCTTTCTTCACACCACCATAGCAGACAAATAACTGGTCTGACTGTTGAAATTGAGCAGTAGAGCTCATAGCACTTCAAGGCACGCACAGGACACAAAAGTTGGGCACTTGAGTCAGACCCTGAAGAAGTCTGAAAAGAGGCCAGTTCAATGTGCTGGTTTATGAACTGAGGAGGAAGGACTTTCGGGAGAAAAGAAGGATTGGGTTGTAGAACCACCCCGGAATCATCCGGCAACCAACGCAAGCGCAATTCGCTAACAGACTCACTGACTCGTTTCGCAGATGCGATAGCCAACAAAAAAGCAGTCTTCAAGGACATCCATTTAAAGGGGTCATATGACATTGCTTAAAAGAACATTATGTTGTGTATTTGGTGTAATGAAATGTGTTTATGCGGTTTAAGGTTCAAAAAACACATTATTTTGTACATATAATGTACATTATTGTTGCTCCTCTATGCCCCGCCTTTCTGAAACGCGTTGATTTTTACAAAGCGCATCGTTCTGAAATGCGAGGTGTACGCTGATTGGCCAGCTATCCAGTGCGTTGTGATTGGCTGAATACCTCAAGCGTGTGACGGAAATGTTATGCCCCTTAAGACAAAAACAATAAAACCCATTACAAACGAGGCATTTGTTGCATCCAGTGGGGACATAATTGCAGATTATAATGACTTATACTGTCTTTTTACGCGTTGGGTTGCGTATCGCGCTGCGTAAACATAAAACCATGTCTGGAAAAACGACAAACAACAAGCGCTACTCTACACTTCTTAAAACTTGCGTTTGAATCGTCAGTGGCAAATTCTTTAAATATAAAAAACGTACTTACAGGCGGCGCTGACGGGGTCCCCCTGGCAACTGTCGATGAGGTGGCCGAAAAACTCTCGCATCCTCAGTAGCACGACACCTTTGAGGGGGCTGTGACTGAGGCGTAGCGTGCCGGCGGAAACGTTGCTTCGATGTGGCATAGTGATGACGGGTCTGAACTGCTGGCATCCCAAAGGCAGGGTTGCGCTGCACCTGCGTCAGCTGACGAGTGGCCTCAGACAGCTTTACCCTCTTTTCCAACAGTTCCAGAACATTAGGACCAAAAAGATGCCCGGGAACAAATGGAAGATCTCTGAAGGTTTTCTTACAGTCCTCAGGTAGCCGTACTTGGGCAAGCCACACTTGGCGGCGGGCTGCCAGGAGCGTGGCTGTAAGTCTACCCAGCTCGCGGGTCACATGGCCCATTGCCAAGAGAGCAGTCTGCAGAAACGGTGAAATAGATGGATCAACATTTGCTGGTTCCAATGTACTTGTGGCAGCTAGAAGTAACTGGCAGATTGTTTTCCGCACGAGTAATGTAGGCAACAAACTCGTATGCCTTTTTTAGCAGGGAATCCGTACGACCACATTGAGCGCTGGGACATCGCACATTCCCTCGTTGTGCCTCGTCAGGAGACACTACCAAAGCTGCACTATCTCCGGAGCACGACTCACCCCGATGGAATTTGCTTCAGCCATTAATGATAGTGTCAGAGCAATTTTTGAGCGCCGCTTAGGTGGACCAGAACCAGTGAGGGTATTTGAAAATTCAGCCACAAAATCTTTACATTGTGGCATGGCGAAAGAAGCCGCAACTGTGGCCTGTCTGAAAATAACATTCGTTTGGGCAGACTGGGCCGGTGACTCATCAAGTCCTATTCGAAGTATAGCCAAAGTATCATCGGAAGAGGACTGGGCCTGTCCAGATGACTGAACTGACCCTCCACTAGACCCCTCTGCTGCTGGATAACCAGTGAAAACATCCTGAGGAGATGGTTGTGCAGCAACATCTACAGCATCTCCATGATCACGGAAAAAGAATCTGAAGCACTCGTAGAAAGCATATCTATATCAGAATGATGTGGAAAAACAAGGGGAATCGAGAGACTCTTCCCCAGTTCTCTGATTCTGAACATTCTCATCCTCCTGTGTCATCTTCACAGGTGATGGTTGTGCAGCAACATCTACAGCATCTCCATGATCACGAAAAAAGAATCTGAAGCACTCGTAGAAAGCATATCCATATTAGGGTTGCGACGGTGAGGAAATTTTCCCACCGGTTAATCGACCTGTGACAACACCAGTAATACCGGTATCACCGCGGGGGCGGAGGCATTCCCTCTTTTCCTAGCATTCCTTCGCTTTTAAATGGCTTGTAAAAGCGGCGTGCGCATTTTACTTTCACTTTGAGATAGCGGCAATTCGGAGTAAAGCAATTGTTCGTTTTTAGTTCGTTTGAATGTGACTGCCATTCTGCACGCTGCATTGAGCAGCCGCGTTCAGTTTTTAATTGTAGTGTCTGTTCTTTTACTTTACTAAAATATTTTTATTTCTATAAAAAAATCAAAACGACGGTGGGGGTCGGTGACGCAGTGGGCAAGTGACGTAACCGGTGCTGCTGCTTAACACCGGTATCACCGTCAACACCGTCTATCGCGGCAAGCCTAATCCATATCAGAATGATGTGAAAAACAAGGGGAATCGAGAGACTCTTCCCCAGTTCCCTGATTCTGAACATTCTCATCCTCCTGTGTCATCTTCACAGGTGTACCAGATCTGA